CCTCCCCCTCTCCAGCATCCCTAAGCAATCAGCCAACAATCTGCCAATAATTTTACCGACATAACGGAAAAACCAATAAATAATATCCTATCAAGACCTCGATGGCTTGTCACATTATCATGATGAATATGGGAGATTAATAAAGAGGAAAAAAAACAATTATTTTCATCTGACGTCACGTCGGTCCAAGGAAAATAAATTTTTACCGTCACGAACGGACGCGCCCTTGTCACCGTAATAAACTCAAATATTTCCTATGTCCTATATATACCCTATTTACCACCACGTTACGTAACCCAGTTACACAGCAAAACGATATTACTGTATTATTAAAAAATAGTCTAACGCATGGTCGGCCATTTTGAATGATTTGAATACTCACGAAAACCATGATGTTCTTGTAGGTGACGATGAGCAACGGATGCAAACCCTCCAGTCTGCAGCCACGCCGTAGATCCTCGATATCTGTAAAGAAGAAATAAAATTGAGGTTGGAGCGAGGAAATTTGTCAGTGTTAATTTGAAACTCGATCAGAGCAAATTTGATCGGTAGAATTTCATAACACGTGCATATGTACGTAACAATTACGCATTCAAGTCCCGCTGGATACTCTGTGTACGAATTAGAATGCTTCGACTGTCCGGCATACTCGGATACCGGTACGTTTCTGTACCTGACAGCAAATCGAATCCTCCCCTGTCCGACGGAAAGACCGCTTTAAATCGGAGTTACCCGTCACGAGTTAATTAAATTCCCGATAACGCGTTAGCACCTTTTGTACGACCGCTGATTGTTTCATTAAAAGGTTTCGCGCGGTTTTAACTCCGGCAGAACGAATATACGCACGAGACAGAGTATAGCTAGATACGGCTATGAGTCCTGCTATAAAGGCTCGCTGCGATACCTAACCTCGGAAATATGAAATGGAATTAAATTTTTGGTGGAAAAAATTATTCGAGTAACGATCAATTAATTTTTCTTTCGTTACCCGCTATGTATGTAGATTCACGGTAACACTTATTGTACGTACGTTAGTATACGTGATGTCGCTCTGACACATCTGGCAGAAAATTATTCAATGAATTACTAGATAGGTTTCGTTATTGCATTAACAGCGTAGAGCCGAGGATACGAACGAATTTCGAACTAGCGAGATCGCTCGTTCGTTAAATTATCCGGAATTAAACGGTAATTTGTTTATTCGTCAAAAAATATCTACGGATATATATTTATATATAGGGCACGTGTAATTCATACCTGACGTATTTAAATTTCCCGCCGTAAGGGTTACGCTAACGAGTTTAACCTCAAAATCAACGGGTTATCGAATTAAACTGTATAAAATATCTATATATTTGTAACACGGATATATACATGTATTTACAGCAGCTGCAAAATTTCTCACCACAAACACGTGTCGCTACGCCTATGGCTCTGAGGTACGTATGCTGCGACGCCAATGCGTATTGCCTGGCGTTTAATCCGCCACTGTAAATTCCGCGAATCTCACAATTCGTGGATACAAAAGCAGATGCAGATGTTAACGAAACACAATACAACCTATCGAGTAATATTGGTCAAGCCGTTGCTTTGGATATCCGTTAAAACTTATAATGGCCGAACGTCGAGAGCAAGTGGAAACTTTTAATCCGGTTTCGGAACCCTAAGCAAACGTCGCTGTAATGACGTTGGGTTTTGATAAAGGCGAAACCGAGGAATTCTTGGTAAATTTACGAGGCTTTCGAATATCTTTCTCTCTAACGATTCTTACATATTGTATATATTCGTCATTAATTTAACGAGGTTGCGACAGTGCTCAAATATCCGGCCATCTTTCTCTGTACGGATGAGTATTTAACTTAGCTGCCATGGGGAAGGAAGTTTGGCTTTGTGGGAAAATTTGTTATTTTAATTTTAAAGGAAACCCCTGAGAATTCCCTTTTAAGATATGGAAACCGACTTTGCCACCCAAAGGAATATTTTTCTCTTCCGTATAATATTGTATACGTGTATATAGGTACTATGGATTTATATTATGTTTCATGTAAGAAATAAATAAGCCTATAGGTTCATATCCGCGTACAGGGATATCAGATTCCAAACGCGTCGTAATATTCTTGACAACTGTCATTAATTGGTCTGCTGGATAAACGTTTTTCCGACCTACTTTAGAAAACTTATTTAGAAGTCGCCAGCGTTTCATTGCTGTGTTAGTTATGCGATTAATTATTCCGTGAATCCAGAAAGGGACTCCAGCTGAATTTCGGGTCAGCAGCGATGATTGTTTTTCGCATCACGATTTTAGATTCCACGCGGCCGTCGTGTCGAATGAAGACGTCTTGAATTCGAAATCGGTCGGCGCTGTCGTCGTGCGAACATGAAGGTCTGGATGGAACGTTTTACAAAGGAGGCCTGACAGGGTCGAAGCACCCCATATCCATCCAAACTATACCTACGTATATTGTATAGAGGGTTATATCCGCAAGATCCCTACAAGGGGATGACGTTTGAAAAAGGTGTTGGAATCGATATGGCAACCCCTACCGTAATTCTTAAAAAAAATACAGATATACCCATTTACGATTTGTATAAGAGTTTATTAAGCCTTCTACCTACTCGCAACATGTACCCATGTATAACAGAGTAGGGGTAGTAACCCTTGGATCGAAGGGAAGTACATTTGCGGCTGGGGTTTCGAATCAAATAAATAACATCGTTGATCTTGCTATATTGACGACTATACATTTACTTTCTCATTTTGGTACCTACATTTCCGTATTCCCATACGTATGGCTTTTCACAATCAGGATAACGTCGGTACTTAATAACGACCCTGTATAGATTTGTTACGTGTGCCCTACGTTTCCATGAATTCCAGAAATATCTATTGGTTCAACGTCACGGGTCTAGGGCGGTTTAAATCATCCTAAGAAAAAAAATTTTTATCGAGCCTTCATGTGAACGGACTTTTACGGCGTCATTCTCGCATTAAAATTCCCCTTGATACGACCTCTCCAGGACGACGACGTCGCCCGCTTGATGTTCCTGCAATCATTAATCCTCCTCAAAGCGTCGGTTTTGTCGCTCGCGATAATAGCCTTTGTCTTATATCGAATGGGCACATTCGCATTTTCATGTAACGTTTTCAGTTCTGCTGAAGAAACTTGAATCGTATTTGTACTCGTTCATGCAGACACTGTCGCTCGCTTGTGAACCAGACATCATCCGGAGATACCTATAGGTATTGTCGTTCAAAACTAGTCGAGTGGGTATTAACTCCAAGGAGTCATTGTGCAACTGGAATCGCTTACAAGTCGCTGAGTTCAAATAGCTTAATCGCTCTTGGGTGGTTTCCATGAAAGATAATGGGCGACGGTTAGAACCGATGTTGGCTAAAATGGCATTGCTGGCTAAGCAATCTCAACAAGAGACGAGGGAACAGAGACAGAATGAAGATGACACTGACGTCAATCTGCTTTTTTTTTTTTATACGCAATGTACCGGGTGGTATATATCGATTGGTAGAAAGTAGAACGCGGCGATGCCGTGACGCTATCCTACTTCGTTAGGACGACTCCTTTGGATCTTGTCCAATGCAGCCCTAGATCAAACGATCAAAAGCTAACGGCTAACACGCAACGAGATATCGGCTTTTGGATGAGCTCATTTATTGTATCTTAATTTTTCATGAAAAACAGGTCACTCGTCCAAATGAAGAACACGTCTCTGGCTCGTCGTCTAGAAAGGACAGCCGTGCTAATACCACGCGGAACAATCTATCCATTTCGGATGTCGCAGGATGCTGAACACGATATCACGTGATGCATCGTTCACAATGATGACAATCGCGTGATGCGATTGCACAGTATAGATATATCGTTAAGCTCAGGTATCGATCCTCGGTAATTGGCACAGTCTCTCTCCGTCTAGTGTTCTAACCGCTCGACTAATTCGTGATCCTGAGTATCTGGACTATTTGCTAGAGAATCGTGGGAAGTGCAGTCAAACGAGAAAATCCATATTGCCACACGTGACAAAGTTTCCGAATTAGATCGCACGTATGTTTGTAACGGAATTGAAAATGCACTATGAATGTTTCGTGGCATGCCGCGAACGTCAATGTTATTCTAAATGTTTGAGGTTAGCTTGCCCTTAGATTTCTCTTTACGTTGAAAACACACCTTGCTTCGCATGACAGAGTCCCTTAGCTGCGATGTAGATGATAAACACAAGGGTAACTGCATTCGTGATAAGTATCATCGTCGATCAGGCACTCAGCGTTGTTTTCACTGTCACGCGCACTTAACCAAACAAATTCAAATCATCTTCCGAAAGCGTTCGTTAACTGAAGTGACAACCCGGTCGCGTAGGAATCTCATACGGCTTACAGAATTTTCTCTACATGTTAAGCCAAGAGCCGGCAAACGTGTCCGACCTCGTGGATGGCCGATGCGAGACTGAACCTGGGATAGCTTCCTTGGTGGACTGACACCGCGGTGCTAACAACCCCCCAAGTTTCCACCCTCGGGATTTACAAGCTCTCCTGCCAGCGGGAGGCTCGCGCATGCGCATTACAACAGTCCAGAAACTCTTCCGATAGGAATGCACGGATTTATGCATATTTTCTATTTACTCTTTTAGGAACGTTTTTTTATAACTGTTTTAAAGGGCTGCGTTTCAGTGCACTTTCTAAATTGAAAATGCTCTTTACCACTCGGTGCACTGTGTTCCTTAAGTACCTGTATTATGTACCGGATAGAATATAAGGTTTGTATATATGCATGTACATAGCTCATTGTCAAGTTAGGTACTACTCACAGTTTGTACGTCATCCTTAAGGCTGGAAATCTACGAGGCTGAAGCAGTCGCGAGTCCTGAATTATTTTCTCCGAATTGGGAACCAGCTGTTTCACGTAGATGTAATACACTGGGCGAACTCGGATGACATTTGCTTTCCCACAGTGTCTAACCGTGTAATCTATGTGTCCTGGAAACATTCGGGTAGACGCGTTATAAATCAACAGCAGGAGTCGCGATGAAACTTTGAACGGTATGAATTTCGCATAAAGCGACATCAGAGAATCGTATGTGAATGTACACAGATAGACGTCTGGTAATATGTATCTTTTATATAGGTATGTATCTTTTATATATTAACATATATATAACCTCTAAATAAACCGTCAGTTTACCGTTAGGAGACTTTCCTATAGCATTTTCAATTGACTGGATTTACTCCATCGGCTGTAAAGTGTAATACCGTGCTTGTTGAAATATATGTATTCCAGTCTAAAGGAAGATAACGATTTAGCTTAGCGTGTTTTTCTAATTGAAATACATTTAAACTAAGTTTCGCAGCGTAACGACAAGCCTCATTGTACATACAGCGTATAACCAACAAACCAGGAGCGCATGGAATCAAACAGCAAATGTAGAAGGGAATACCAAGGGAATACAAGGTAGAGATTAGGAGGGGAATGATTTTCAGTGAAAGGAGGGTAATATCATTACGCAAGGCTCACTCTACAAAGAGCAGCACGTATCGATGTGTCACTTCGTAAATGCCTTCGGATATCCTTGGGTGCTTTTAAAGGATCAATTTACAGTCTTGTGAAAATTGGGAGATGAAAGTTAGGTTAGGTCGGACTGATTTATTCATAAATTTTCGTGGCGAGCACAGTGCGGAATGAAGTATCGTCCGTTAAGAATCCTCTTTGCCAAGCTTGCGACTGTCGCTGGTAAATGTTTTCACGGACTCTTCCGGTCACATTTTCATTTTTTTTTATTTACCCCTAGTAAACGCGACTCTCTGGCTGGTCGGAAGTGGTGGCCCTCTTGTCACTAGGGCGAAACGGAATGGCCTCATTCTGCAAGAGTAAGTCACATTTTTGATGAGTTTACATGAATACCTGAACAACCGTATCCTGAATGCATATCAATAATAAATTAAATGCTTACTAATTTATTATTAATATAAATTATTAATATAAACATTGACTAACTTCAGTTCATTAGTTCGGTATTGGATCCCATTACCTCGTTTCATTACAGCCTCGTATAGCTTTTTCAATGACTCTGTGGTAATATTACGGTTTTTATGGTGCTACCCGAATAAAACGGCCCTGCTGTTTCGTATTTCACAAAATCCTCCAAGCTCCGGTTACCTTTTCAGGATAAAGTGTCGTACACATTTTCTTTACTTCACTCTCCTCTTTCACCTTAAATCTCAACTCCTTTTCGACCTTATTCCAATCCGCGTTAAAGGTTTTCAGGATTCGGACGTAACGTTACGCCCAACTACTGAAACAGTCTGGCGAGCGGAAGGAATGGATTTGAATTTTATTCCTTTACTCCCGAGAGAGAATTCGTTGACGATGAACGTGATTTTCTTGGGTGTAAATTTTTTTTTTTTTTTTTTAAGGAGAGGAATATTCTTTCATTTCCTTTAATACCTCTCGACTGTACAGGTTGGCACTAATTTTTCTTGTATTCTTATTTTCTCTCTCTCTCTCCCGCCTCTCATTTGACACGTTATCCGCTACTTTACGATCCTTCCGAATCGTCCGCATTAATCTTCCACGATGTACTACCCTTTACAGAGTTTTCAACTGGCAAAGTAGCTACTCCTGAGAAACTGTTACACCCCCCGCCCCTCCTCGCCTCTCCTTTTCCGCTTCCACCAAGCTTTACGTAAAACTTTTCTTCTTCATCCTTTGCCAGAAACTTTCCATTTCTACTATTGGTCTTTTAACCGTGTTCCAGTGGAATCCTTGCACGCTCCGTTCTCGAATCGACCTAACCTGGTCGGTATAGGATCTCAACGGATCTTAACCTTAAAAATAAGTGTCTAGATGATAGTTATGGATATTTGAAACTTTTTTCACTATAAAAAAATTTATCCTTTTTACCTAAAAGTATACATACCATAATATACAGGGCTATACGTAATCCATATATCACCCTAGAAATTCATGAGATTGCAGGAAATCGGTGCACGAAGACAAGGGGCTGGTGGGTCGTTTCACAAAGGTGAAATAACCCAGTAACGACATCTGCTTGCGCTGGTAACGATTACGACAATGAAAACTCGTACACACAGATTGCACATACTGGCACTAAAATGGCTGTACAAATTTTACGGCTCACAAACGTATCGAACATTTCATAGCGATACGATCAATCGATCTGTATTTCAGAAGAGGCAAAACGTACATTCCCAACATCCGTTTATGGATTTTCCACGAGGACCAAAACGAAGGTCGGTAACCCGTAACGTGTGTTATTCGGATTAGACTGTATAATTTCATACATTTGTCTGAGCGTCGGCCATCACGGGTATCCGTAGAACTATTCATACAGGCTCTTTCATAATACTACTTAAATTTTCAGAGAATCTGTAACCCACGAATATAATCCATCCTCCACAATCTTTCTGATTCATCCATAATATTCGTATATGTTTTTGAAATTTCCCCTGAAATGATGAAACGGGTTATGGTTATTATGACGCAATCATAGAAACTTCCAGTAGCGTCCATTTTACCAACCGCGATTCAATCTCCTTAAAATCACCAATGGAATACGTATAACCAAGGTATCCTAATGGCTTTGAGAAGTTTCAATAGTCCTACCACCGTCGGTGGTCCTTGCACAAAGGATTCGTCCCACCAGGAATCCAAAATCCTGAGGAAATTTCATTTCGGGATATTCAATCAAAACGTCGTCCACGAGCACTCGGATAAACATGTCCTTGAGTCATTCGAATCCTGTCTTGTAGCTTTGTGCTATATGACTCTTTCGCTTTGGATGGCTCACAGATTGATGGGGATTGGCCGATCGAATTCCTTCCACGAATACGAGTCTCGTAACTCCAGGACGTTGAAGGAATCTGCGACAAAAGGAAATTGTCACGATGAATTTTTCTTCTTTAGCGTTTTTTTTTTCCAAAAAGAAACAAAGTCGTGAGATATTCTCTCTTTATGCGTATAGTCCTGAATAACTGTGCAGAAATACACGAAATTCAGTACTACTGCATTATCTGAAGATGGTTATATAATGGGAATTAATAGAAGTCAAATGGAAAGAGCCAACTTCAGGGAGTGGAATAGTCCTGAATCGTGGATGAATAATGAATCCTTTAACGGTACGTCAGATTTTCAATTCTACTCTGGAACTTACTCATGGCTTAAGATACAGTTTTCAGAAGGCGAAGATGACGTCGTTAACTATATATAACTATTAACAATGCTCGGCGATAATACCGGGCAGCAACGTGGGATAATAACAATATCGAACTTTTTCTTCAGAACAGTGACAAACGGTTTGCGAGTATCGCTCTAGAAAAAGCTCTTCTTCTTCTGGCAAGAACTCTCGAAGCTCCGTTCGGGAAGAGGTTCTTTAAAGAAAAAGAAAATCATGGATTCCAGCAGATTGAAAGATCAAAGACCTTTTTTCGTCTCTGAACCATGTTGAGCTGCTTCTCTTGAATGATAAAAAAAAAAGAACTGCAGTTTTACTATTGTTATAAAATACAAAAATTAACTGGATAAGATATTTAATAAAATTCATTTACCTAAATCCACGACTGTAATAGCAAATTACATTGTTTTTGTTTAGCTCCAACTCACACAAGGACATCTGTGAAATTTTCCTCGGTCCATGGACTCTTCTCAGCTCGTAGCCTGAAAGTCAAGTCGCGCGTTTTCTCCTAACCCTTAGTAAGAGCGGAGGACGATTGTCGTCGCGACGCCATTATCGTCGTTCCCAAAGCGAGTTTAATATTCGCAGAGAAACGGGTCGTCGGCGTAGGGTGGGTGCGAGTTTCCTGCGGGAAACGAGAGTCGACCTGGAGGTACGGGAAGTTCCCGCTAGGGACATTCTGCGGTTGGTTAACTTACTAGTTACTATCCGACGCAGTACGCCTAACCCTACCGGTCTATTGGAACTACAGTAGTTTCCTTTCTTTCCACGTGGTGTGCCATTTATAAATGCCAGTATGTCCTGCACCTTATGATTTACCTTGCTGCACTTGGGTAACCCAGTCACGATTACATAAATTTCGGGATCATATGCAATCCATTATATAATTTGGGCTAGTAGTTGATCTTCATGTTTGGAAATTCAAAAAGGTAACGTTCAACATTAAGCGTTGAGGTATTTCTGGTAAGACTATACTCTGTGTCTTAGGGAAGCACTTGAGTAATTAAAAGAGTCAAATATCAGTGTGGTGTACCTGGTCATGAATAATCTGATCGGCGAGTCACTTCGTACCGAGGTACGTATTGTGTTGAGGTATTTGAAGTATAGGATAAATTATGAAATGCTAGAGAGAAGCAAAGCATTGATCAGCCATTGGTGGCAGCAGCTATTGTTGCTAGGAGAGAGGCGAGGAGCTTCCGATATGCTAAAAAATATTAATATATAAAAATATATTTTTTTTTTGTCAGAACGGCCTATCAGATTTATATTTGGCCGATTATTCAGGCCTTTCTAAGGACACTACAAACCTGTTTGAAGTTTGAGGTTGCTGGATCTGACGTCCTACTATAACAGGGTTTAACCTTGGGAAGCCTTGAATTATCACATCCCTTTATGAAACATCCTAATTATCCCATGGTGTATAATGAACCCTTTAGGATCTCCCAGCTAGTAATTTTGACAATGTTACGAATAAGTCAAACAAATGGGTTACGTATATCCGCCAGAAAGGTATCTTAAAGAAATCCGAGATAGGACAGCGTAGGTTAGCTTGTAGATAACTTTTTAGCAGATATTTCTAAGTCGTTTGGATAACTTTTTCATAAAATTGTAAAAATTGCTATCTGTGCTAGCTTGTTCAAAGTCCTTCGAAGATGAAACTCTGTAAAAGTATCGAGTGTACTTTTGAAGCGGGAAATTTGAAATCGTCAGTTAAAAATATATTTGGAGGTTAAATCATGAAGCGTGAATCGCCCTTAACCTATGAGTAATTTCTCTTTGGTTCATTCTCTCTCAGTCAACGTTTACTTTTCAATTTTCCCTCTTACGTACGTTACGAAGACGAACTATTTCGGCGTGAGAACAGCCAAAGTTCTTGCACCACGCCGCTGAGTTTCCAACTGACAATAAATCCCGCCTCCAAGTCAGTCTCTGTTTATCGAGCAGCCGTCCTAGACTTTGACGAGAACCGTCTTCTGCTCGTAGTGCACAGTAAACGTCTGGATCGCTATTAGCCCTCCGGCACTTTTGTTTAATTATGCACTCACCTGACGAGTACAATCTAAAGTCACGTGAAATTATAGTGAGAAAGGAATTCCAAGTGTCAATCCAACCTTACCAGCGAAGCACGAGCGAGCCGGAGTTTTTAACCTCAAAATCGTCGACTTGACAATCTCGCCAACTGTAAGCTGCTGAATGTCTTATCTCTCCGTAAGCTCCTCTTTCATCCTCGCTATACAATTTAGCCCATTGTGTCGTGCCGCATCTGCGAGTCATCGTTTCTTATTGTTAGTAATAGCTGCCGGACGATCAATCGCACGTAAAGCTGTAAAGGAATTGCTCTTGACGTTGAAGAAGTCGAAAGAGTCGTGTATAGTCTCTTCTAGAAGATGTCATCTTTATTCTTGCTCTGTGACAATTATTATTAAGAATCAGTGACAATTTAAAATCCTGCTACAAAATTAATTTTGCTTTCAACGATATATGTATTTTATATTTTTCACAATTAATGACACCTTTGACAATTTTTTGCGAATGCTTGTACGCGTTTACGTACATTCCTCAATGTGCTCGGGGAATTGTGAGTGGATATAAAACTCGACCACATCGCGTCGTAGCGGTTTGTGAACGGAATTGAATCGCACTCAATAAAAACACAATAAAGACGCCCTACAATGCAGCCTCTACTACTTGACGTGGTCGTTTGTCCGCCATTTTCTATCGTTGCCGATGCAGTTTGCACTTTCAGTGCGTCCTTATGCAATAGTGAAAATTTTTCCTTTGACCTCTTGTACGTAGAAGTAGGCAATATCGATTGGGAGTTATCGTTGTTAAAGAAGATTTACAAATGCATCACTGCTCGAATATAAAATTCTATTTTTCCTCGAAATACTCAACAACGGAAAATTATTCACCGAACAATATACTCAATATTTTATTTATCCTAGTGGATGTATCGACTGTATTGGGTATGTTTCGAAATTTACTGCCAACACTGTGTCCTTATTCATCTGTACGTATCTTAGAAAAATCTAATTACTTTCACAGTATTGTCAGTATATTTCGAAATAGCCATAATTTTTTTTCTAAGACAAAAAACACTTTCTGTATACATTACCTTCAATGGGGCATAAGGTGAATTTCGATCTTAGCTTCTAAGTCGATCACGTTGTCGTTACTTAAGAACTAATCAACGTATGAGATATTAATTGGTAAAGAAACCTATGCAAATATGAAAATCAAGTTGTGGGGCTGACTGTATTTGTACATTACTGTAATAGGTAGCATTTCTTATTTTACGTTACACGAGCTAGACTCGTTTAGTAAACGCGCCGAAATACATTTTGCAAGCACAAAATTCTAGTAATCAAATATTGCCAAATCAGTGTTGAATATTATATTTATGTTTTCTTCTTTCATGATATATTTTTCTCTATTTTTTTTTTCATCTAATCATTTCAGCACGATATTGCTGCGTGTTACCAAAGCAACGAGGACCCTCAGCGCTACGGATATGACATTCAATGAAAAATACTCATGACGTATTACACTGCACTTGGATATCCATTAATTTATTGCTGCAAAACAGGAGGGAAACGCTTTCGCATCGTCATGGATGACGTGTATTATATAAAACATGAATAACATATGAAATGGAAACGAGTACAATTAACGCGTTGGCGAAGCTGTCATCGTCAACTGTCAGTCCATTTGAAAGTAAAATTATTAATCGAGTATGCTTTTTGCCTGACGCTATTTTATTTTACAGAGTATCCAGAAGAAACGATTATCGGAAGAGGATAAATGGCGTGTACCGAAGGAAGCAAGGCAATAAGTTTGAACCAGAACGCAATTAATTTTCTCGTAAAATCAGAGAAATAAAGCAAGAGTATTTCCTTTGAGCGTAGCGTCGCGAGGAGTTAATAAAGTAAAAATGGAGAGGAGTAAGGGAAGAGGAAAGAAATGAGTAAAATTAAATAAGAAGATTGACGAAGGTTATAAATCCCGTGTACCAAGGTAAAACACGTATGGGTAATCACTTTTGGTATCCAGAGAGTGACTTTCTGTGTAACCCCAACGATATAGATAAGATAGCCACGATAATTCAAAAGGTACTTGTTATTAATATTATTTTTAAGAAGGGTAGGTAAAGATTAAGGGTTGGTAGAACTACCGAACCTAGCTACTATATACTCAGAGGGCGTCTAGTAATTTAGTAACGTGTGCGATATTTCAGTAACCCAGGTTCACCATCAGTCAGTCCTGAAGGATAGACAAGCCAAGGGTACTTGGATGCTTTGGACACTCGCACGAAATATGCTTAGGCGTTGAGGGTAAGAACGGGGTCACTAGGGGTAGTAACGTGGTGGATGTAGTCACTGTCTACCCGGTAGCACTTGGATATAGTAAACCTTTATACTCCTAAAATAACCCTTGTTTATTACCAGAAACCTGGCCAAGGATTCTCGGAGAGTTGGATGACTTCAGTTTACCCATGCTGTGTGTGTACAGTGACAGCCTACTACTGACAACTCTCTTAGTACTAATTGCTAAGTACAGTTACTGGAACAGCAAGTAAAGGCTTGTCCGACTTGTTCCGCCATTTGCAGAACGTGTTTCCAGGTACTTCTGTCTATGCTCATGAAGTGGAGGCACAAGCTCAGTGACCTGATTTCTTTCTGGATCTTGTGCCTTGACGTTGAACCGTACGACCTGCGGATGTAAAAATTGGACAAAGTGAATCCTGAAGTAGGTAATTCAATACGGTGCGGTTTAGAGAACTAACGTCTTGGGCAGAATATGGAGTTGCTGTATTTTTCTCAGGATGATGATACGATGTCGTGTCCTTGCATCCTTCACTCTCCGGGAAATGCGAGAATAGAACTGCGTTACCAGGAGCTATAGCAACAGCAGGAAAGAATGAGTTTCCCACGGTCATTAAGGAAGATGAACAAAGCCTCAATGAGAGGCTGCAAGCACGAAGACTCTTATGTCGAAGAATTGTGGTTCTTCGTTCGTTGGTCCAGGGAAGTGCATCCGTGTAGTAGCTGTCATTAAGGTGGGGAATGGATGCTGCAAAGATTAAGGAACACTAAGAAAAATTACTGCTAGACGTTCTTGAAGTATTTTCTGCTCTTTCTTTTTTTTTATTTGCTCTTCTTCTTTTATTCAGGAGCTGCAATCAAGGCGGTACCTCCTCAGGGTGATGCCCTCGTTGAATTTCTGGAGTGGAAAAGAGTTTTAGCTAAACGAAGTTTTGCACTGCCGGATGAAGATGAGAAGAGATTAGAGGATGATTCGATAACACATCAGTGGGCCAAAGGGGTGACTTTTGAAAATCGCAGAACCGTGCTCCCAGCCTGGAGCCATTAGACTTAATCACAGACTGCGTGCATTCTAGTAAAGGAGTGCATTCCAGAATTCTTTAATAGATTTTGCCGCTACTGAAAATTCAATGTTTTAGATTGGAGCTTTCTGACTTAACGAAGCGAAATAGAGTGAACGGTGCCATTCTGAATGACATTTCTAGTAATTTTAAAACACGCTAGTAGAGAGAAATTCTAGTCATCCATTTTCAATCCTCTACCCAGAAATCAGTAATAGGAACATTTACAGACCTATCAATAGTTGAACTAAGAATTGGAAGTGATAACAAATATTTTTTCATAACACACAGAGATTCGTGAACAGGTTACAATTTCGTGTCAGATTGTAAAGTCTGTCCAGTAAAATGACTTCCCAAAAAAAAAAAAAAAAAAAAAAAAAAAAAAAAAAAAAAAAAAAAAAAAAAAAAAAAAAAAAAAAAAAAAAAAAAAATAAAGGCAATTAAGCTAAAAAATATTAATGAAAGTCCCGCGTAATTTTATCAAAAGATTTATCCGTTTATTTATTAAACACGAAAACGACAGAGAATCTGTACCATGTACAAAGTTTGCAGCATTGTCGGCCGTTTGTCGGGTGAGTGTAGACAAGGGATGAAATGCTGATGCGTGCGCCGTTAAATGAGGAAAAATACAGGGCGTCGCGACGCCCCACGGAATCGGAAATGCGACGAGCGCTTTAAAGTTTAAACAGTAGTTGCCGGCAGGACTCTAGGCTCTGCGACATACGTAAGCTCTGTAACCTCGCGTAAAATAGGTTAGAACAATTAAATGTTAAATCTGAGAATGGTGGGGATGCCGCTGCTAGAGGTTGTGACTGCAAGAGTTGGGGACGGTCGGGTCGACATACGAGGTGAAGGTGAATCAGGATACAGAAAGTTGGAAAGGGATAGAGCATCTTGTACATGCACGTAATTAAACAGAAGCGAACATATCCCAACCGTGCCTGAGTCTCTCGCTGCAATTTCTATTCTACTGGGACATTCCGTACAACATTATCAACCTAGTCTGTATTCATTGCCAAGTGGAAACTTTATACGTGGGAAAATTGAGGTTATATTAAACGAGGGTCATAGAGGGGATAGGATCGTTCGATATGGCGATTCGAGAAGATACCTGAATTCGATATCAAAGCAAGATAAAGTGTCGTCGAATAATTTTAATTGAAAAGCTTAATCATAGTGAGAAAAAAATTGACGAAAGATCAGCCCTGCAGGAAAATTCGTTCTACGGCTATATTTTCCTGCTAACGTATTTATAATGCTCGTATCGTTTCTGCCTGCGCCTTAAATTTAGAAGGGAGGTTTACCCTTCGAAAGCTTAAAAGCTTCTTTGTCCGTTGATGCGCGAGTGGGCGTAAAGCTTGATGGGAATATAAGTGGCGGGACGTAGACGACGTATCTCCATAATACGCCTATGGGAAAGCCCAATTGGTCGGATTACGTAAGAAGTAAGTCCTAAGTTAAGTAAGTCCCTAGTCGACAGACCGTCTAAACCTTCTGTGTAAGCTTGACTTTGATACGTACGTAGTTTATACAGCTACTTTACCTATAAGAGGTTAGGTATCTGGGACTACCCATAGCTAACGAGATACTCGTATCAAGAGTTCGAACCTTGACGAAGATTTTTCCAGGAGTACAGCGAAGTGCACGCCAAGCCATGCAAATATCAGGAGTTCGACCAGGAATCCGTTTAACGGGAACTTGGGGTAGCTACTTCTAGGCGAGGTCGAGGAAGAGCTAAAAGGATGTAAAAGGACGGAGGAACGCTTTGAGGCTACTGGGAACTTTTGCATAGCGGGAAACAAGCAACAAATGCGCGGGCCACGATGTTGCTCGACGCTACCGGGCCCCAGGGGCGTATTATTTATTAACTGTAATATCGGATATTGCATTAAAACTTTTCTCGAGCATGCACTAGCACCCGTCCTTGTATCTGGAGCCTGAGCTTTTCTGTGTACATTATTGCCTCATAGTACCAAAAGTTATTTTACGGGAATGCTACCATTTTTTGTTGTCTTTTTGAAAAATTTTCAGACTTTCATCCATTGTTCAAAATTGTCGACCTTTTAATCAAGAGGATTGAATTGGTTTAGCAATTTAATTCATAGAGGGAGATATAAATTCGACAAAGTATTTCGCATAGTTATTAACCTTTTTTTCTATGGTAATTTTTCAATTTCAAAATCTTACATGTTTATGTATGTTTATTCAAAAACCCTTGGGTTATTATTCATGCATGACGAACAACCCTCGTTTCAACTGATGGTCAACACTTTGCGTTTGAAGGGAAAGTTTTATCTCGTAACCGGGTAAATCCGTGCGGTTCACCCTCGAGCTCCTAGGATGATACGAAAATCGGAAAGAGGACCCTCGTGAAACGGGATTACACCCAGATATAAGATAAGGGTTATCTCAATCGGCCTCACCTTCTAGCAGTTATTGCGTGCGTAGTTTCTTTCGGCATTCATGGCGTCTTCAATAAGAGACGCGCCTCTGCTTCGACGATTTTACGACCCCATTCTGACAGCACTAAAGACTTGCCCGTCGCCATTGTACGAAGTTATACTCTTTGCTGATTTCGTTTAGGACTTCTTCAATATCGAATTTCAAACTTGCTGCCAGAGCCAAAATCAGACGGTAGACTGAGTCGTTATTATCTATTGAGTCTTTTGAATGGAGAATAAATCCTGCTAAACTATTCTAAAAGAAATGGAACGTTCTTTATGCTGTATATATATATATATATATAATTACATTTTCTACGACTAAAGGATAATACAGACCCAGTAAGTAGACATCTACTTACCTTTGAAGTGGCGATGGAAAAGGACTCATTAAAAATCTAGTGACAAACCGTGAGAGAAAATTTACTTAAGTTCCTAGTGAATTTTCTAGATATTCAGCAAACTTTAGTATGTACACTGATGCTATTTGTAAATCCAATTAGTGAACCGCTAAATAAAATAAGTGCCTGGGTAACATATTCTGAAGTTTACGTCACCAAGACTGGGTTACCCAAGTGCAGCAAGGTAAATCATAAGGTGCAAGACATACTGGCATTTATAAATGGCACACCACGAGGAAAGAAAGGAAATTACTGTAGTTCCAATAGACCGGTAGGGTTAGGCATACTGCGTCGGATAGTAACTAGTAAGTTAACCAACCGCAGAATGTCCCTAGCGGCGAACTTCCCGTACCTCCAGGTCGACTCTCGTTTCCCGCAGGAAACTCGCACCCACCCTACGCCGACGACCCGTTTCTCTGCGAATATTAAACTCGCTTTGGGAACGACGATAATGGCGTCGCGACGACAATCGTCCTCCGCTCTTACTAAGGGTTAGGAGAAAACGCGCGACTTGACTTTCAGGCTACAAGGTGAAAAGACTCCGTGGACCAATGGAATTTTACACTCGTCCTTGTAAGAAAAGGAGGACATTAACAAAGAGTAAGTACTCATATTCATTCCCTTAGACCATTAGAAGTAACAATTTCTTGTTCCGGAGTTACTTAACCTCGAAGACTGTAATCTGACACACTTGTAAGTAACTAGAAAAAACTTTTCAATAAAAAATTCTTATTATTCAATGAAATTCTTTCTACGTTTAAAGAAAAAGCTCAGTGCATTCTTTAAGCTGTTTGTGATATGTCCATGGAGGTTTCTAGGATTCGACACGGATTCCCTAGGGAGTTTACGGACTCGTCCACGATTTCTAGGACGTGGCATGCTTTGGCAATGACGGTTTCTAAGATCCGGTAAAACTTTCATGCGAACGTTTCCCAAATTGAAACGATCCCATGAGGTCCAACGTGAAGGTGCAGACAGCTCTTCTACATGGAATGGATACGCAATGGTATGTACACATGTATCATACGTATAACGTATACTCATTAAATTAGAAATCTCGACGAAGACAAATTGTGATTTTGGCAATTCTCGAAATGAGCCAAGTACACTATTGTCGCTTGACGAATCCATCCTAACTAGATTAATAGCATTTGGCTTCCCTATGGCCACAATGTTTAGACAAATTAGCTCTCGAGCATAACTCTGCCTTTTGCTCTGAAACCATAACCTCTGACCCGTAGCTCTATTATTCATGCTGGCCAATCGGGTAATGGTATGCCAACCGCACCACTCTACAGTTCTCGTAGAAACTTCACGGGAATATTTTACGAGCTGTCGTCAGCTTTCACTTATTTTTTCATAATTGATACCGACCAATTATTCTTTATTCATCGTAATCGACGTTCCGTGAAAATATATTGCTATTATATCTGCTTTAGATCTTGTATAATTTATTCATACCGGTATCATTTAATTGTTATAATAATTATCGTCTAACCTTACTTTTTTAGCTCGAAGAAATCCCGGATTGATTAAAAATAAAAACGTGATATCAGGCTCGTGCATATTTATTAATTCTCTAGAAATTACTTGGCTGTCATTTAAATTCGCAAAGTCGCTTTTTTCTTTTGTTATAACAAAAGTCAGTCTTCCGAATTCGTTGAACTTCCTTCTTACCGACTTCAAAGAGAAATTATACGAATTATTATTCATTTTGAAAAAAGATAAAGGAGTATTTGAATTTATTTAGAATTTTTTTCCTATCATTAAATCATGTTTCAATCCACTATAGTGTAGCTGCACTATACAGTATGTCCCTTGGAGAATATACCAAGGTCCTCGCAGCATTCTTTGTCTGTACATTTTTGGGTGGTTAGTAAATTTAACGTTTTACCTAATTTCAATAAATTTCCACAAATTATTACTAATTTGTCGGACAGCGCAAATTATACAACCGTTGTGGCTTAATCGTTTGCCATAATTGTATTTCACGTAATTATTAACTGGTGATATTTGTATAGTAGTATAATGCTTCCGTAAGCATCATCCGCCATGTTTTCATCGGACTCGAGCGAGAGGTAAAATACGTGAAATAATTATAGATGTACATACAACAAACATGTGTCAAACCTCAACGTGACTCCGGTGGAAACAGGCATTTACGTAATTATGAACATTTAACAATATCGAAAATTTCGTCCAATGCCAAACCACATTTATTTACGGCAGACTACAAATTTGTAGAAATCAAACCAACTGTTATTAATATCTACTATAGTATCACGTACGTTAACCAGTCGTGATTCATGTGTGACTTTCAATAACTAATAATTTCAACATTCCACCAGGTTTCGCTGTGAGGTCGATAATGGGTTATCAGGAATTCCAACGTGCAAGAGGCGACCCAGTTTCCATGTGGGATAACGAAATTATCAAATTATTCAAGAGCAGAGCAAGAACAGAGGAAGATACTGAACGGAATACCAGTAGTAAAAGTAACGACTAGATAAGAGGGAATCACGAGAATTGGTACTTTTCTTGATAAACTAAAAGAAGAACTAACTGTGGAGTTTCAACATCTTGAGGTACTATATACACAATAGCAGAAAAGGAGTGTAGTGGCGAATAAAGAAAAGCAAGAAATTAAAGGTCGATTTGCTGGTAATGGTAGCAAAGACACGCGATACGACTTTCTTTTTCGTTTTCCTGGATGACATAAATGTACAAGAGGCGAAAAGGTAGAGTAAAGTCTTAGGCAAGAAAATCATAATACTGACGACAGTTAATATAATAAACTCCTTTACCTTCATTGTAAAATTATATAAAGTGTTAGTTTCATGGTTTTTATCTTATATAAATTTTGGATAAAACAGTATTGAGCTCTTTAATGGAAGTAATTAAAGTGTAATTTACATAGAGTTCATAAATTGTTTTGAACATGATCAAAATAAGAATTTTTAAGCTTTAAGAATATTATCATTTTCTCCTTTTATATAACAGTATGTGTGACCTTGGAAACTATAGAGTTAAGCGGATTGGGATATGCTTTTCCATAACAGCCATTTCTCTTGATCCGGATTGACTCCGGTTATAAGATCTTCATTGATTTCTAGGTAATAGATTCTTTCGTTTGTCACTGGTAGCCATTTCTTTGTTACCACATCGTCGAGCTTTGGCGTTGGATCCCTGAAAAGAATATGTAGTTACTATTTAACATTTTGTGCGCCCAATAAGGTTTATCTTGTCTCTTGTTTTTAGATGTTTACCCGGTTTTGGCAAAGTTCTTCCAGAGCCTGGTGAAATACTCCATCGTTACACGACTCTTAGAATCTGGTTCCAACTTGGAATTAGATGCACGGTTGTAGAATATACAACCGAGTTCATCTCCATGACACGTACCTGTGAAGGCGAATTTCAAATTTATTTTTCTGATTAACCAATATGTTATTGTAGTCAGCTCTGCCTACCTTTGATGCTGTTTGTGACATTGGATGGCATAAACACGTTTTCACCTGGTCCAGAGAATTTGTAGAAAAAAAATGGAACCCTTTTTTGGAATTGATTTTCTACAATTCGTCGAATTCCAAAGACAAATTGAAAGTCACCTAATAGCTGTACGTAATTGTCGCGTTGCTCAGGTGTTATCGGTTCCTCATCAAAATAAAATTTTCTGACCCTTTTTACGACGTCATCAGTTTTTGTAATATTTTGATTAACAATCAGTTTATCAAGAAAGCCATCGAAGTCATTTTCGATTTTACTGTATGTCTTATCCGTAGATGCTTAAGATGCGACGCGAAAGCCATAATGGAAATAAAATAACAAGGATCAGATACATCTGTTATCGTTAAATCCTTTAACTTCAATAAGAGCAAGCGTAATTACCTACAAGGAACACAATCCCTTCGTGACTATTGTAACCGAATATACTTGGAACCTCAATTCCTTTTTTGGCCATTTCATCTGCCGGCTGAGGTGCAAAGGGATTTTCACTCTTGTCATCCATTGTTGGTACAAATAAAACGTTAACCGTGAACTCTCCCTAAAAAATTATTAAGACATTAAGCACTTAAGGATATTCAATGTACCAAAGAAAAAGTTTTTTTTATAAACTTACGAAACCACCAGTAAGCTCTACCACTCCTTCTGTCAATGTTTTAGCATCGACTGTCCGTAGAAACTGTGCAGCTTCTTTACCATCTGTAGTTTCAAATTCTAATAATGCAGCTAATTGTAGTCCTGATTCCTTATTGTCCCGACATAAAATTACCTTGAACCTTAGTTGGCCCACTGGTGGCTCAGCGTAGGGAATACCATTGAAGGCCAAGTACTCTCCGCCTTCTACATTTTGTACAACGGTACCTTTCAAGGCTCCGTATCTCGTTCTCACAATCGGTGCGCTCATGGTCGCTCTAGCAGAGATACTGGCTTGATCAAAAGCGACACCACGCTATAAATTCTTTTGATTCACAGCTATCTTATATAGTCTACTTGCCCACTAGACATACAAATGCTTTTACATCAATAAAGTCTTGTATCTCAATAGTATACACAAAAATGGTGTAACTCACTCTTTGTTACTGAACAGAAAAAATGTATTTTTTCACATAAAGCTAATATTGTCACACAGCAGATAAGCTGTATTTTTGTGT